GAGAGAGAGAGAGAGAGAGAGAGAGAGAGAGAGAGAGAGAGAGAGAGAGAGAGAGAGAACATCTATGTTTCTGAATCTGACTCAGAACTGCTTCTAGATTCAGACAAATCATCCAGAACAGTGCCTAGGCCGATTGGGCCGAAGTGGGTGGGCTGGGCATGAGGCTGTAGGCCTGGGTCCACACCGTTTCATATTGGAATTTTAAGGACTTGCGGCCCCCACGGCGTCGTTTCGGACTTTCCGCCCCAGCCCCCTCGCTCTTTCCTTTTTGAAACTCGCAGCTTAAGGACCGCGGCCTGCGCCAACCCTGCGTGGTCCCACGAGCAGCTACCGGTCCACTATTTCCAAAGAAACTGCCACTGTACCGGGACTACGCAGAGCCCTTCTTAACTCTACCCAATCTTGACCAAAGCATAGTCGTACGAGCCTTGCCGCACGGGTACTCGGGGCGCTAGATGTAGTCATATCTCTACAGGTCTCATACGTATGTTGTTCCCTGAGTACATTCCCCATGGGAGATAGAGGCGTCTGCTCATACCATCACCCCTAGCTCCCAAACGGGCAGTTTTTTCATTAAAAAAAATAAAAAAATAATAAAATAAAAAAAAACATTGTTCGCAACCCGTCAGGGTTGCGTTTTAACCCCTGAGACATTTCGTCGTCGTCACCAAAGGGTGCGGTAGTATGAAGGGTGGTGTATTTGCTGGGGGTCCAATTTGTGGGAAATAGGCAGTTTTCGCTGTTGGAGGACCGGTAGCTGCCCGCAGGAGGGCGAGGGGGCCGGATCCTGAAAAGTTTTCGCCGTTGGAGGACCGGTAGCTGCCCGCAGGAGGTCGGGGAGGCCGGGTCCTGAAAATTGGCATTCCGCTGAGTTAGGGCGGGTTTTTAGGGGCGGCGCCGACCGGAAGGCGCAGGCGGGTCCAATCTTACAATTTTCGAGCGCCAACTTTGACGATTTTTCCTACACAGAATAATTGGAGAAAAGATCTGAAAATTTGATATCGGGTAGGCCAGGTCGTGATCTTTCCAGGAAAAATATCAACAAAATAAAATAAAATCGTTTAGATCATGAAATAAATGCCGCGCCAATTCGTCACTTTTTCCATTTTTGGCACACGACAACTTGTGGGCCAACGGGAAAAGTACCCCTATTTCAAAAAATTTTCACGCTCATAAGAACTCGCAAAAAAGTCTGAGAATTTGAGGGTCCGTAGATTTGGTCATGATCTTTTCAGGAAAAATGTTTAAAAAAATAAAAAAAATTGTCTCAACCGCGAAATAGCTTATCGCGCAAATTCATCCCATTTTTCATATTCACCACTGTGCCGGTTCTCCACTCTGTGCTACTGGTAGCCCTCATGGACCTGTGCTACCGGTCCCCCGAATTTCCAACGTCGGGTAGAGTGGTGGTTTGAATTCGAAGCCTGTTGTGGTCGAAATAGAAACAGGCCAAAAGCAGCGGCGGCCGCTCCCGTTCCCTCTGCGTTCACGAAGTGATAGTCTCCCTGTGTGCTTGGGGAGCGTGGTGCCTTATCGATCGAGGCGTTTTGACAAAATGGCGCCGCGCCTGAGTTCTCTCTCTCTCTCTCTCTCTCTCTCTCTCTCTCTCTCTC